GAGCCTCCTGGAGAAAATCCTTCAGTGGGGTCCCATTTCTCAAAGCCGCAACGACCAGGACTTTGGCAGAGCCTGGTGCACATTTCATTCACGGTTGCAGAGCCCACGGAGGGCAAGAGAGTCTGGCACCGAGAGTGGCAGTGGATGCCACTTTGAAGGACTTTCTCAGGCATCGGAGAGCAACAACTGGCTGCCTCGCCTGGAGGCGTCAGCAGCGGTTTTTATCTCGCAGTCCAGGAAGAGGCTGACAGCCAGCCAGGATGCCTCTGGCCTGTTTGTGCAGCAGAGATTAGATGCTCGCTGAAGCCTCAGATAAGAACGGAGAACTCCAGGGAGCAGCTTTCCCCCTGTTCTGGCCCCATAGAAAGGCGAAAGGAGGGGAGGGGGCAGCTGTGAGCCAAAGCACACTGAATTCATTGGCTCAATGAATAGTCCCAACCTGCTGCCCTCCAGAATTAGGCAAATTCATGCAGGAGAGGACCCGGAGAGTTATGGTCTGCCTTCGGAGTCAGCAATGCGCATGAATACCAGGTGCTGGAAGCCACAAGAGTTGTTCTGGTGCTCCATTCCTGCTTGTGGGTTTCCCATTGGGCATCTGGGGCAGAGGGAGCCATGTTCAGCACCTGCCCTTGCCTTGCTCTGTAAAAATTTTTGTGTGGCTATGGGGCCACCATATCCAAAAGGAGACTTTTGGATCAAGCCTGACAGCCATTGAATTGCCCAGCGCATGGCTGATTCCCCTGGCAGATCTTGTGCCAATGCTGTGGTGTTTTCCTCCCTTTCATGTCCTTGGCTGTCATCCGGATCAGTTTCAGACTATCTGATTTCTCCTCATGTGCAGGCTTGCTGTATATGGGTTTGATCTGTTTTTATTCTCTTTAAATATCTGCATTTGCTTCCTGTTTGTACTGGAGAGCTCCAGGAATGCTGGACTGGGTGATGTGATGATGAACGTTTTGTACAGTCAGATGTTTGCACTTGTTCCTGTGGGCTTCTGGCGCACGTCCGAAGCAAATACAACAACCTGGAACCCAAAAAGCTAGTGCAAAGTGTGTTATCTTTGGCTCCATTTCACAAATGGAGGAACTGAGGCTGTGGCGTACAGCTTGCCCAAGGCCAGGTGACATGTCCCTGTGAGGATCATCAGGACTCTGAGATCTTGGTTTAACTTGCCATCCTATCCTCTAAAATAGCCTTTGCCAACGTGGTGCTCTCTAGCCAGCACTGAAGAGAGTTGTAGCGTAAAATATCTGGAAGGCGTTAGATTGGCTCTAAAAGTGCCTGCAACATGGCTGTTTCTGGCTGAGGACCTTCTGTTCTCTCCTTATCATGTGCTTGAATCTGGAGATGGATGGTGTCCTGCATTATTGCCTCAGGGCTGGAGAATAGGACTTGCCCAAGACATTTGGCTGCCTGAGGCAAAGGACAAGATATTCCCTCTCTCCCTGTCCCATGGGCAAAGCCCACCAGATGGTCAGATGCGCCATATTTCAAAGCTGTCAAGTGGGCAGCATCCTTTGCTATGTCCAAGAGATGCTGGCTAGGTTAGAGCTGGCCGTGCGAAATATGCTCAAATACCTCCCTGTTCCTGCCCACTCTGCAGCAACTGCCGCCTGAGGCAACTGCTTAATGGTAGAGCCAGACTATCTAGATCAGGGGTCTGCAACCTTTAAGGCAAAAAGAGCCACTTGGACCCGTTTCTGAAGGGAAAAAAACTGGGAGCCGCAAAACCATTGTGACATTTAAAACAAATATATCTCCGGAGCCGCGATCTGACAGCGGGTGGGAAGGTGACGTCGGGACGGTGCATGACTAACGCACGCACTGCCCCCAAGCGACATCGCAGCCAGTACAGCGCCCATCACAGTGGGGAGTGTCGGGGCGCACAATGCGCCTCCTCCCCTCGCTAGTATCCGCCCCAGAGCCGCGGCAAAGGTGTAAAAGAGCCACATGCAGCTCCGGAGCCGCAGGTTGCAGACCCCTGATCTAGATCAGCGGTTCTCAACCTGTGGGTCCCCAGATGTTGTTGGACTACAACTCCCATCACCCCTGAGCTCTGGCCTTGCTAGCTAGGGATGATGGGAGTTGTAGTCCAACAACATCTGGGGACCCGCAGGTTGAGAACCACTGATCTAGATCATAGGTAGGCAAACTAAGGCCTGGGGGCCGGATCCGGCCCAATCGCCTTCTCAATCCGGCCCGCGGACGGTCCAGGAATCAGTGTATTTTTACATGAGTAGAATGTGCTCTTTTATTTTAAATGCATCTCTGGGTTATTTGTGGGGCCTGTCTGGTGTTTATACATGAGTAGAAGGTGCGCTTTTATTTAAAATGCATCTCTGAGTTATTTGTGGGGCATAGAAATTCGTTCATTTTTTCCCTTCAAAATATAGTCCAGCCCCCCACAAGATCTGAGGGACAGTGGACCAGACCCCTGCTGAAAAAGTTTGCTGACCCCTGATCTAGATGGCCACCAGTTTCCCTCAGCTGTGCAGCTCTGTTGCTAAACGGCCCTGCCTCCCACAGCCCAAACCAAACATTTGGGACATCATCTCCAGATTTGCACATACCCAAGGGATGCCCATCTTTTATGACTCTGCATGCACAGAATTTCATGTGGGTCATGTTGCTCCTGCTAACGGATACAAAATCTGGACTCCAGTGTGCAATGCTATGCAGGCTATGCAGAGTTTTCCCTGACCCTGACTGGGTTCAGTGATCTATAGCCCCCCCCCTCTCTCTCTCTGTTCCTGCAAGTTTTGGAGTCAGCATTTTCACATCCAGAAATGTGTGGGATTGTTTCATTGGTCCTGACAGGTCCTCAGTATGTATCTTTCAGCTTGTTGGGTTTCACCCATTTGAGATGAGTTTCTGTGATAATAATAATATAATAATTTATTATTTATACCCCGCCCATCTGGCTGGGCTTCCCCAACCACTCTGGGCGGCTTCCAACAAAATATTAAAATATCGTAATAAATCAAACATTAAAAGCTTCCCTAAACAGGGCTGCCTTCAGATGTCTTCTAAATGTCAGGTAGTTGTTGTTCTCTTTGACATCTGGTGGGAGGGCGTTCCACAGGGCGGGCGCCACCACCGAGAAGGCCCTCTGCCTGGTTCCCTGCAACTTGGCTTCTCGCAGTGAGGGAACCGCCAGAAGTCCCTCAGAGCTGGAACTCAGTGTCTGAGCTGAATTATGGGGGTGGAGATACTGCTTCAGGTATACAGGACCGTGATATTTAAAAGACCATTGGCATCAGATAAAATGAAGTCCTTCTTCATGCAGCCTAGTGTTAAACTATGGAACTCACTGCTGCAGGAAGCAGTCATGGCCACCAACCTAGATGGCTTTAAAAGAGGATTAGACAAATTCATGGAGAAGGAGGAGACAAGCGATGGCTCCTAGCCAGGATGGCTCTGCTCTGCCTCCACAGTCCTCCACAGTCGGAGGAAGCAATGCTTCTGAATGCCAGTTGCTGGAAGCTGCAGGAGAGGAGAGTAATCTCGTGCCTGGATCCGGCCTGCGGGTTTCCCACAGGCATCAAAATGATCAAATAACAGCATATAACTCGGAATGTTCTGTTTAAACCGTCTGAACATAAGAAGAGCTTTGCTGCTGGATCAGGCCATTTGGTCAAACACTCTGTTCTCCCAGCAGACGAGGAAATGCCCACAGGACATCCGCTATCAAGACCGGGGTGCAAGAACTCTGTCCGTCTGCAATTCCCACACTGCTTCTGACGCTGGAGGTAGAGCATTGTGACTTCTAGCCAAATAAGTTGGAGTTCTTTTTATTAAATATACCAAGAAAAAAGCACACCAAGAACTCAGGCCAATATAAGTTTCAGCAGTGGGAGTGGTCCCTACTCGCAAATCAATAGTCAATTGTAACAAAGACTAATCCATTCAAAAGTATGTATTCTGACAAGGATTACAAACTCAAATAGAGATTACAAACTCAAACAGAGATTACAAACTCAAACTCATAAGGATATGTATAACACAATAATTTGTTACAGAATTAGAGATAAGAGTTTATGAGTAGAGATAAGTTCATGTTAGTCCATAGTCAGATTTGACGTGAAGATCTTAGTTTCAATCATTGAGCAGAAGTCAGAAGTCAGTTATGGATCAGAAACCGGGACAGGGCCCTGTTTCGATGTATTCATCTTCATTAGCTGGAATCATCGTTACAATTGACTACTGATTTCCGAGTAGGGACCACTCCCACTATTGAAACTTATATTGGCCAGAGTTCTTGGTGTGCTTTTTTCTTGGTATATTTATAGCCAAAGACAGCTACCTCCACCATGAATTTATCTAATCCCCACTTAAACCCTTCAGAGTTGGCAGCCATCACTGGAACTTGTGGCAGTTTGACCGGGTGCTTTGCGAAGAAGCACTTTCTCTCGTCTGTCCTGACTCTCCAAAAGGAAACAAAATCATTCTGGCAGATCCATTTCCACACTCTCCTCTCTAAACCTTTGCAAGGGTTACGTTTTTAAAAACTCACCCCATATGCTTTTAAATCTACTGTCATCCACCCAAAGCCTTTGGAAACTTCGGGTTCTGAGGGCAATTGGATTATTTCTGTGCAAGTGGACAGCATGACAGGAGCTGAAGTAATCTATGAGTGGGTGCAAAGACAGATGGATGGATGAAGGAAGGAAGCACTTCTGGTCTAGGGCATCAGGGGACGGAGCTCTTTGGGGCTTCAGCCGTTTTGAAACCCATTGCCTGAAGAGCTGCAGAGTGTTGTGAAAATGTTTTGATCCACCTCAGTCTCTATTTGCCTCTCTTCTATTTTGTGGAACATTCTCTAAGAGGACGATGGACAGGCAAGTTCTATGCTCAGGTATCTGATGGTGTGGTGCCATTTGCAATCCTGGGGTGCCTGTTTTCAACCAAATGCAGAGGGGCTTGGACTAATACTCTTTGGGCCTGCTCCTCAATTCCACGTGCTTCGCAAAAGGGCAGGGGAGGGCAAGGAAGCAACTCACCTGGCCAAAGTTCCATGGGATCGAGTAGATGTAATCCTTGGATCCCTGGTAGATCTGGCCATGCTGGGTCAACACGTATTCCACACGCTGCTCTTCGCTCTCCAGGGAGACAGAATCCGCTGCGGGGAGAAGATGCCGTCAGAAGAGGAAGGCAGAAAAGGCCTCGGAGGAGAGGGATGGGGGAGAGGCAGTGCGGTGTAGTGGTTAGAGCGTTAGTCTAGGACCAGGGTGACCTGGGTTTGAATCTCCACTCGGCCATGAATGTTCATGGTGTGTGACCTTGGAGGCCAGTCACTGTCTTGCAGCTTAAACCTACCTAACAGGGCTGTTGTGGGGATTAAATGAGGACTAGAATGTGGTCTAGACCACTGAGCCTAGGGCTTGCCGATCAGAAGGTCGGAGGTTCAAATCCCTGCGACGGGGTGAGCTCCCGTTGCTTGGTCCCTGCGCCTGCCAACCTAGCAGTTCAAAAGCCTGTCAAAGAGCAAGTAGATAAATAGGTACCACTCCGGCAGGAAGGTAAACGTCGTTTCCGTGTGCTGCTCTGGTTTTGCCAGAAGTGGCTTAGTCATGCTGGGCACATGACCCAGAAGCTGTACGCCGGCTGCCTTGGCCAATAAAGCGAGATGAGCGCCACAACCCCAGAGTTGGCCATGACTGGACCTGATGGTCAGGGGTCCCTTTATTGGTCCTAGGCAAACACTCTAACCACTGCATTGCACTGTCTCTGGGAAAGCCTAGAAACTGAGAAAGCAGATCCCTTCTGATGTCACCAAGGACAGTGGGATGACCCAGGAGCAGCGCCCCAGCAACACGGCAAAGAATCTTGGAGCAAACATTGCAGATTGCTCCAGCCCCTCCTTCAAGTAAAGGGAATCTAAATTCAAGTAGGTAGCAGTGTTGGTCTGATGCAGTCGAAATAAATAAAAAAATTGTCCAGTAGCACCAACTAAGTTTGTTTTGGGTATAAGCTTTTGTGTGCATGCACACTTCTTTGGATACTTTCAGATATGCACACGAAAGCTTATACCCAGAGCAAACTTAGTTGGAATCTAAAATAATCCTCCATTTCACTCTGCTCTGTGTGTCTGTTCCACTTTAGCATCCAAACCCCGTGGGCGCATTTCAACCTTTGAACACTGACACAGACAAAGGTAGTAAGATAACACTCATCGGCAGCATCATATGGGATACTGAAAAGATGCGACAGAAATGCAAAGCGTCGCCAGCAGTGCTGCCGCCCAGGTCAGGATGTGCAAGACTGCGATAATAAGGGGAGGAACTGTAATGCTTTCAGCGGAGTTTGCTGGGGAATGTGGTCTCCCTGCACTAGAAACACAAAGCCTTGTCTGGGGGAGCAGGAGATGCTGCCCGCCCGTGTAGACAATACTGAGGTAGATAGACCAATGGCCTAACTCTCTCCAAGCCAGCCTCCTTCCAAATGGGTCTGCCGCCTTCTAACTGTCCCAGGCTTCTGCAGCCCTTCGGCCTGAGATCCCTTCAAACTGGAGTTCTTACAGACTGGAACTGGGAGCCTTCTGCACACAGAGCACACGCTCTAATACAACTCCATCCACGGCTGCTTTGCATCTAGAAGGTTGCAACGTCAAACCCCAGCAATTACAGGCAGGACTGCAAAAGACCCTTGTCCATTGCTGGTCACTGCAAACCAATCTTTGCCAACCTTGTGTCCTTCTCCAGATGTTTGGGGTGGCAGCATCAGCACAACGGTGCTGGCCAAGGTTAATGGGCGCTGTAGTCTAAAACATCTGGAGGGCATCAGGTTGGTGAGCACTGAGCCAGATGTGCCCGTGATGACGCAGGCTCCTGCCAAGGCTTGCAATCACCTACCTGGGCACCAAGGGTTGAAGAGCAGGACAAATTCGCCCAGGCTGAAGCTGGAGCCCTGATGGTCAGTGGCAGCGTCCATGGTCAGGCGGTAGCGGCCGATCCGGGCGTCAGGAGGGGAGGAGATGGACAGAGTCAGAGAGGTCCCCTCCTGGTGCTCAACGGCTGAGCTCCAGACAGCCTCTTCCAGGGAGCAGGAAAGCGGAAAGAGAGATCTGGTCCCCGATGTCTCGATGGGGCAGGGCCCTGCAGGAGGAGGAAGCAAAACAGGCCGGTGGTCAGAGCTCTCTGCGCATGAACTAGGGATACGGTGCAGAACGCAGCAGCCAGACAGCAAAAGCCGCTTTGCAGTGAAACGGACGCTCCTTCCTTGGGCGATTTTACGCAGAGGTTGGATGGCCATCTGTCAGGGGTGCTTGAGCTGAGAGTCCTGTATTGCAGGGGTTGGACTAATAATAATAAATAATAATAATAAATTTTATTTATACCCTGCCCTCCCCAGCCAAGACTGGGCTCAGGGCGGCTAACACCCGATATAAAAACAAACTGATTGAAATACAACTTAAAAACAAGATTAAAATACAACATTAAAACGTTAAAATATTAAAATGCAGCCTCATTTCAATGGAAACTCAAATCAAAAACTTTTGGGGGGATGAAAGCGTCAAGTTTTCACCAAGGCTAACTTTCCAGACTGGTCCTATGTGGGCCAGAAAAAAGCCAGGGAAGTCCCCAAATAGGAGTTCCATCACAGGAGGGGAAAGGAAAAAAGAAAAGGGGGAGGGAATCAAATTGATTCTAGATGACTCCTGAGGGTCCCTTTCAAATCAACCATCCTACAGTTCTATGATTTTGTGAAAGGAGATTCCAATTAAACACCGGAAACAACTTTCTGATGGAAAGAGAGCTGCTCAGCTGTGAAACGGACGACCTTAGCCACTCCCAGTTTAAAAGCCATCAGCCGTCAGACCCAAAGTGAAGCAGAACCTCTCCCACATGGTACATTTATCACCGTTTTATGCCACTTTTAACAGCTAGGGTTCCCCCAAAAGAATCATGGAAACTGTAGTTTGCCAAGGGGTTGGACTAGATGACTCTTGGAGGTCCCTGTCCAAGTCGACCATTCTACAGTTCTATGATTTTGTGAAAGGAGATTCCAACTAAACCCCAGAAACTGCTTTCTGATGGTAAGATGGTAGTTTGCCAAGGGTGGTGGGAGTTATTTGAAGACTCCGATCCACCTCACGGAACTACAGTTCCCACGTTTCCCTGGAAAGAGGGGTTGGACCAGTTGAAGCCTGTGGGGTCGAAGAGCCCCAGAGAAAAGGGCCCTGCTGGCTTCACAGGTGGGAGGAAAAAGCCGAATTCAGGGGCCAATGGAGTAATATCCGCCCTCCCTTCCCCACAGGTTGGCAGGGTTTGCGGCACTGAGCAGAGCTCACCTGGGTGGGTGCCACCTACCTGCTTGATCCGGCCTTTGACCTGCCCTTGGCCAGGGAGGACAATGGACGGCCGGCCGGGGGTGGGCCTAAGGCCAAAAGAAAAGAGGCTGACCCTTTGGCTCAAGCCTCTTTTGCTGTTCTTCCTTCCAGGATCAATCCCTCTCGCATTAATTATGCAGTGAGTAAAATTAACAGGGCCATGTGCAACACCATGCGGCAAATTGGTGGGTTCTCTATCCCACATCCCACCATCACAGCAGATAGAGCTGACCTATTCCGGGGGGACGGGGTGCACCTGACCCCACTGGGCAATGACTTCTGGCTCCACGACTTGCGACGAGCCCTTGGGGACTGGATAGATTGCGGGGTTTGATTGGTCCTCGGTTGTGGGACTTGGCGGCGAGGCCCCTTAGGGCCTCAAGTGGCGGTTTTTAGGCCTTTGCAAGGTAGCCTTTAGTCTGACATCAAGTTGGGGGGGATGCATTCATGCTCCCTCCCCATGCGGTGGCGCTTGTAGGGCCCATTAAAGGGCAAAAACCGGGAGTCCCTGAGCCTAGAACGGCGGCATGTAGGTCAAACTCCTGGCACGAGGTCGGTGGAAGGGCAGGCTGTGTAAGTTTGCGCTTTGCAGTCCCCTCTCACTGGACCTCATCTGCCTGCATATCCTCAGCCAGACGGGCTGAGAGGGTTACCTGCCAAGGCCTGTGCCAAGTTTCCCACTTCTGAAGCTCAATAAAGTTATGGCCAATTTGAACCCATACTCTGGTCTCTTGTCTCATCATCTGGGATAATGGGGTACGCACCACAGACAGGGTTTAGCGCGTGGGCCCACAAAAGGCAAAACCTTGACAGACAGCACTGGGTCTCAAGAGCAGGAGAAGTGCGGATGGGCTGAGAGGTTTGTTCCTTTGAGGAGTCTTTATTGGAGAGCGTCTATTTCCAGCATTTTTTCCAGGGTGTGGCTGCTTCGGAAGAAGAAGGTTTTCCTGATGACTGATGAAGCTACCTGAGCTGCGTCTCCTGAGGGTCACAGGATCACGCCCCCAGCCACCAAGGTTGCAAGCTGTTCCACCGCTAAGAGACAACAGGATGGTGGGCTGATGCAGGACTGGACGAGGCCAGCAAAGGAGAGGCGTCCCTGGCGGAGCAGATTTATCAAAGCTGTGCTTTGTGCACCAGCCCCGTCCCTCGTCATTCCATGTCAATAAATAGACTCGTGAACCAAGGCACACATTTCGGGTGGCCTCACCCCGCCGGCGGTTTTGCTCCAGCAATCCCTCAAGCCCATAAATCTGAGAACAAGCAAGGGAGCATCTTGCCATGTAAGGCGATTCCCTCGCCATCTCTTCCTCCCCAGCACAAGTTAACAAGGTGAAATTCAGACAAGGATGAAAACCTCCAGACAGACTCCTTTTATGCAACGTGGGAGCCCTGCGTCTCATAACCGGCAGCGTCCACGTTTTCAAGGCAGCGAGGCATTTATTATCCCATGCGATTTATAAAAGGTATAAGCCGCTGGGATTGCAAAAAAAGCCCAAACACACCTCACACTGGCTTGCAAAAAGTTAAAAGACCGCTAAGAAAAATGAACAGTAATTCAAGGCATGCAAAAAGAACAATTGACTAAGAGCAGATTTAAAACTCGCACAAACTTCCTAAATATCTGGATAGGCTTATCTAAGCAAGCATGTTTTCAGCAGATGCTGGAAAGCGGACAGTGAAGGTACCTGACAGATGTCAAGAGGGGCTGCCTCACTAAAATATCAGTTCCTTGCAAATGTGGAATGGGACTCCCTGGTCCTGAATGGGGTCACTGTGCCCCTGAAGGACCAGGTGCGCAGCCTGGGAGTCATTCTGGACTCACAGCTGTCCATGGAGGCGCAGGTCAATTCTGTGTCCAGGGCAGCTGTCTCCCAGCTCCATCTGGTACATAGGCTAAGACCCTACCTGCCCACAGACTGTCTTGCCAGAGTGGTGCATGCTCTGGTTATCTCCCGCTTGGACTACTGCAATGCGCTCTACATGGGGCTACCTTTGAAGGTGACCCGGAAACTGCAATTAATCCAGAATGCGGCAGCTAGACTGGTGACTGGGAGCGGCCGCCGGGACCACATAAAACCGGTCCTGAGAGATCTGCATTGGCTCCCAGTACATTTCTGAGCACAATTCAAAGTGTTGGTGCTGACCTTTAAAGCCCTAAACGGCCTCGGTCCAGTATACCTGAAGGAGCGCCTCCACCTCCATCGTTCTGCCTGGACACTGAGGTCCAACGCTGAGGGCCTTCTGGCGGTTCCCTCGCTGTGAGATGCCAAGTTACAGGGAACCAGGCAGAGGGCCTTCTCAGTGGTGGCACCCACCCTGTGGAACGCCCTCCCACCAGATGTCAAAGAGAAGAACAACGACCAGACTTTTAGAAGACATCTCAAGGCAGCCTTGTTTAGGGAAGCTTTTAATCATAGAATCATAGAGTTGGAAGAGACCACAAGGGCCATCGAGTCCAACCCCCTGCCAAGCAGGAAACACCATCAGAGCACTCCTGACATATGGTTGTCAAGCCTCTGCTTAAAGACCTCCAAAGAAGGAGACTCCACCACACTCCTTGGCAGCAAATTCCACTGTCGAACAGCTCTTACTGTCAGGAAGTTCTTCCTAATGTTTAGGTGGAATCTTCTTTCTTGTAGTTTGGATCCATTGCTCCGTGTCCGCTTCTCTGGAGCAGCAGAAAACAGCCTTTCTCCCTCCTCTATGTGACAGCCTTTTATATATTTGAACATGGCTATCATATCACCCCTTAACCTCCTCTTCTCCAGGCTAAACATGCCCAGCTCCCTTAGCCGTTCCTCATAAGGCATCATTTCCAGGCCTTTGACCATTTTGGTTGCCCTCCTCTGGACACGTTCCAGTTTGTCAGTGTCCTTCTTGAACTGTGGTGCCCAGAACTGGACACAGTACTCCAGGTGAGGTCTGACCAGAGCAGAATACAGTGGCACTATTACTTCCCTTGATCTAGATGCTATACTCCTATTGATGCAGCCCAGAATTGCATTGGCTTTTTTAGCTGCCGCGTCACACTGTTGGCTCATGTCAAGTTTGTGGTCAACCAAGACTCCTAGATCCTTTTCACATGTACTGCTCTCAAGCCAGGTGTCACCCATCTTGTATTTGTGCCTCTCATTACTTTACATTTCTCCCTGTTAAAATTCATCTTGTTTGTTTTGGCCCAGTTCTCTAATCTGTCAAGGTCGTTTTGAAGTGTGATCCTGTCCTCTGGGGTGTTAGCCACCCCTCCTTATGTTTAATAGGTTATTGTATTTTAATATTCTGTTGGAAGCTGCCCAGAGTGGCTGGGGAAACTCAGCCAGATCGGCGGGGTATAAATAATAAATAATAAATTATTATTATTATTATTATTATTATTATTATTATTATTATGTGCAGCTGCAACAGTTTGAGGAGGTCAGATGGGTGCATATGGGGAAGGGTAAACTGGTCCCAAATTGTGAAGGGATTTATATGGCATAGGAGCTTCCAAAGTCAAAGGTTGATACTCACAAGGGCTGCAACGTTTTAAGAAAGAACCTTGTGCCAATCCTATACCTTGTGCCCAAGGCAGTTGCATAAGTTGCCACAGTTATGGCAGTTAATTATATCCTTTTTTGTGTTGTTAGAGCAACTGATTAGTAGGTTTGTTCTGTTTTGCTGCTGCCTGCCTCCGAGTTAATGAGAGTCTGTTGGAGTTTTAGCCTTAGTGATAAATCTCTGCAGTGCATTACTAAGATAAGTAAGACCTGCCTGCCTTGTACA